CAGATATTATCTAAGCACTTAAATTCTATTGCTTTTCTGACTTTTTATTCTCTGGCTTCAAAAAGTCTGAGAAGCTTTGAAAAGACAAGACAGCAGGATTGAAGAGTATGTGGGTATGGGGGTAGTTTACTACTATCTTCTTTCTAAGACCAAGACTCAGAAATAACTTAACTGTACCTCCCCATCATCTTTCTAGAAGGTTATCTATCACATGACATCATTCTTGTAAGGAGAAGATATCCTCCTGTCTAGTCTTGATGCACTTATATTAGGTGGTTCAAGTTTGGTATATAATTTCAGATTGCAGAAAAGTACAACCTTTTATAGCACTTTCTGGCTTAGATACCATGGTCCATTTCCCTCACCCAAGTCTGTGCCACTTAGAGAAAGCAGTGAACATTTTGCTGAACTAAATGGTTTGATGCCATGTGGTTTAATATTGGATTCAAATTTAGATTAAAGAGATTAGTAATACTTCTTTATATTAGTATTTCTTTTGGCAATATTACCACTTAATTATGCATTTAAAGTTACAATAAACTCTTGAATTCATATAATTTTAACTTTTGAAATAGTGGCATTTAATTCTCTTTACATTATGGAAAATGCATCCATGGCTGCTTTTATATATTATATATTTCTTTAAGATACTTTCTAAACATGAAGTGTTAAGGTAAAATGATAAAGAAGTGTGGTGGGAAGCATCAACTCAACAATATTCAGTGTGTTTATGGGGCTGACTGGGAGCTCTGGTGGCATAGTGCCTTAGGCATTTGACTGCTAACCAGAAGGCTGGCGGTTCAAACCCACCAGCTACTCCTCGGAAGGAAGGACAACCTACTTCCGTAGTAATACCTACTGGGAAACCCAAGGAGGAGTTGCTGTGAGTCAAATTGACTTGACAGCAATGAGTTTGGTTTGGTTTTATGGGGCTGACTCAGGCAGCAGTAGATATCCTGGTTCTCTCAGTTTTCAACATATTTATGTGCCTTTATAAATTAAGTAGAGAGAACTGGTCAGTCACAACTGTTTACTGTGGTATATTGAAAAACTATAAACAAGTGTTTTAGCTTTCCAGCCTCTGCCTTCAGAAGGAGAGTGAAATGTATGGTGAGATCAATCTTTTTGATCTAACACAAAATATCTTCATATTTCTTGGTTTGCTTCTTGTTTCTACAAACTCTCATCACCCAGGAGTTTACTGAGACAGGAATAAATAGGGAAAATACATTTTTTAGACTTTACATGTCTCAAATGTTCTTAATCTACTTATAGACTTAATTGATGTTTAAGGGATAAAGGAAAATTTTTTTTTTTTTGAGATTTTGTATGTCTTAAAATGTTCTTAATCTATTGTTCTGGTTCCTAGTGCCACTCTGACAGGAATAATATACCACAAATGGGAAAGTCTTAACAAACAGGAGTTTATTCCCTCACAATTTGGAGGCTTTAAGTCCCAGTTCAAAGTGTCAGGCTCTAGAGGCTGGGTAAAAGCCCCTCAATCTTGGGGTCCAGCTCTGCTTCCTGTTCCCGGGCCCACTGGAGCTCAAGGCATTTCTTCAATCAGACAGCTGCTGGCTGCTGAGGCTGAGAAACCCCAGGGTTGACAAGTAAAAAGGCACAGTCCCAATATTACCACACGGCAGGCCATTGACTTAAGTCCATTGTAAGTCACAAGGTCGGCAGAGCATAGCAGGCTGCTGAGCAATGACACAGCTACATGCAGGGTCCAAGCATGCCATAGGCTAGAGACCATTCCCAAGGCTTCTCCTTAAAAACAGGAAGCAGACCACATCCCAAAGGCAGCTACTCAGCTGCTTGTGGTACATCCCACCATGAAGTTGATTGCCAGTCTCATCATGGGGAATAACTATAACCAGCTGCCCAGCCACTCAACTGACCCAGCCAAGCTGACACACAAACATAACTACCACATCTATCTACAGACTTAATTGATGATTTAATGCCTTTATAGAATTCCAGAAGTATTTTTTCCCTCAAAATTAGTAGGATGTTAAACCTCCTGGACTGATACTCTAATGTTCTCCCTCTGCCCCACCTTTTTGTCTTATGTTTCACTTTTGAAGAACTATCTGAAATTTCATCTTCTATATCTTATTGAATATATATATATATATATATATATATATATATATATATATATATATATATATATATATATATATATATATATATGTATGTAGGTATATTAAAATATCCAGAATTCTCTCTGTTCTCTTTCCCTTCTTAATTGCTTTCTGTTCTTTCTTGATCTCATCTCTCTGAGAAGAGCATTTTCATCAGCTTTCTGTGTTGTCTTTTTCTTCTTAGTTCTTCACATCACTCCCATCAAATGTCTGGTGGTCCTTGGCTGTCAGTTCATGTTTTAAACGTGAGGCACTAAACTACATGGTTGAGGCTTACAACTGATAGGTTTTTACTATAGCTTGACCAAGAAGGGACCCAGCTATTTTCTTGAGGACCCCCAATTTTCAGCATCTGGAATTTCCCCCTTGAGCTGGCTTATATCTCAAAAAGAGGAATCTTCTAATCTGGCATCTTGTATAAAATTGTCAGCCTACATTCGGCAATGAGCCTGGGAGGAGTCTTTTTATTCAGCAGGTGGACTTGAATTTAATTTCGTTGTTTTCAAAATGGTGCGCTTGCTTGCAGCTGACTGTGCCTGGTGTTCTCAAGGCTGGCAGTCCCTCCAGTCCAAACTTTCCAGAGAATAAATATTCCGTCTGGCTTCTTTCAGACGTTCAACCTACCCTCTTGTTTTCAACCCTATAAACAGCTTCTGTCTTTAGAGACTCCAAGTTCTAAACCCACCAAGGGTTCTACAGTAGAAATCTACTTCCTTGTATTTTCCCCAACCACAGGTCCTTGGTTGTCAATGTTTGCTCATCTATGTCAGCTTACTATTTGTTGATCTACTTTACAGACTTTTGTTTCTGTTCAATGTACTATGTTTTAATCAGCTTTTGTATGCTGTTGTTGTTCTTATGTGCCGTCTAGTCGGCCCCCACTCATAGTGACCCCTCCTTGGGTTTCCGAGGCAGTATCACTACAGAAGTAGATTGCCCAACCTTCTGTCTGAGGAGTGGCTGGTGGGTTTGAACCACCAGCCTTCTGGTTAGCAGGCAAGTGCCTTAGGCACTATGCTACCAGAGCTCCTAGCTTTTGTATAGTGTTTTCCAAATGGAGTACTGCATCATGTTAGGGGTGCAGCCTCTACATGGCTTTCCTCAGACTCCACTTATCTTAAGTTCTCACCTATTCTATACCTCAGCCTGGTGCTTCCTTGCCTATGAGTATAATATTCAGTGTACCAAAACCAAACCAAACTCACTGCCGGGAGTCGGATCCGACTCATAGTGACCGTTCCTTGGGTTTCCGAGGCAGTATCACTACAGAAATAGATTGCCCTACCTTCCTTCTGAGGAGTGGCTGGTGGGTTTGAACCTCTAGCCTTCTGGTTAGAAGTCACATGCCTTAGGCACTACAGTTGACTTTTGTGACTTGATTTCATACTATATCATAGCTAATTTTTGCTCTTAGTACAAAGCATTAAATAGAACAATAATATTCTAATTTAACTTAACCTTCTTTGTTATAAATTATTTTGAGTTTTATTAAGGAAGATGTGGTAGTTAAGGTTGTGTGTCAACTTGGTTGGGCCTGGATGAGTGGCTGGGCAGCTCATGGTAGTTATTCCCTATGATGAGACTGGCAATCAACTCCCTGGTAGGATCTACCACAAGCAGCTGAATAGCTGCTTTAGGGATGTGGTCTGCTTCCCATATATAAGCAGCAGTTTTGGGAATGGTCTCTACCTTATGGCACGCTTGAACCCTGCATGCAGCCGTGTCGTTGTTCAGCAGCCTGCCATGCTCTGTTGACCGTGGGACTTTTAAAGGACTTGAATGAATGGCCTGCTGTGTGGTTTGGTAACATTGAGACTGTGCCTTTTTACTTGTCAACCTTGGGCTTGTCAGCCTCAGCAGCCAGCAGCTGAGTGAAGAAAAGCCTCCAACTTCAGTGGGCTGGGAGCAGGAATCAGAGCTGAAGCCCAAGGTTGAGGGGCTTTCACCCAGCCCTTGGAGCCTGGCACTTTGAACTTAGACTGAATGCCTCCAACTGCAAGAAAATAAACTCCTGTTTGTTCAAGCCATCCCATTTGTGGTATATTCTTGTCAGAGTGGCACTAGGTAACCATAACAGAAGATATCCTATGTGTTTTGTTAGAAGCCATATAAATAAAAATATCTTTGAAAAATTCAAATGAAAATCAAAGTGCTCACTTGCCCATGATGACATCCTAATCAAAATGTAATGATCATGTAATAGTGTATTATTTTAAATACTTTGGGCAGCACATTTATAGGCTATCTGCTGGTGAATAAATGATTGTATGAGTCTTTAGGATTACAAAGAAAATTATAGAAAATATATTATGTATAGAAAAGTCATAGAAATGAAGCATAGTTATACATTTATTTAAATCTGCAAATAAGTAAAGGCAGACCACTACAACTTTTTCTACTTTGAAAAATTATTTTAAATTGGTTAGAAGTCCTTACTCAGCTGAAAATAGCTCATGCCTATGTTTTTCAAATAAATTGCCCATACTTCATTTCAAATTTTTATTTATAAGTACAATATATATCACCATCTAGAAATTAGATCCTGAAAAGGAGCTTAGCTTTTAGCAATAGCTCCCATTAGTCTTCTTCTGTCAATTCAAGTTTTACTCTGGAGACATTTCTTTCTAAGGGGTATTTGATTTGCCCTCCCAGTGTCCCTACCCAGAAGGGAACCGCAGAACAAAACAGTGAAGACACCCATTTCCATTGCTTACGTAGACCTGATTCACTAAGAAAATAGGAAAAGGTTAGATGAAAAACATTCTAGGGAAGTTACAAACCATATAAGGCAATGGGTGAGCCACAGCTGTGGGCATAATTTTTTTTTTTTTTTCCTCTTTTCTCTTTCAACAGGGAGACACATCGCCTCTTCCTCCCCCTGTCTCAGACTGTCTGCGGGCTGATGTCAGGGTCGCTCCTTCTGAGAGCCAAAAATGTTCCTTCTACTTAGCAGACAAGAATATCACCCACGGCTTCCTCTACCCTCCTGGTTAGTATACCTCTTTTTTAGAGCAGCAGCTTAGAAAGCCCTCATCAGCTGGATGTGGGCATGTGCCTTAAATGTATATTCCCCACCAAAACTACCTGCTTGGGTTAAACTAGCCGCCTAGGAGGTTTCCAGGGGTTGTAGACTGGCCAGAAGCAGTATAACAGCTATAATAAAGTCTAATAAATTCTGCAGCATGAACCACAGATGAGCTCTAATGTGGCCCAGATGTTCAGAGAGTTCGGCAGGTTTAAGTTTAATTTTAAAACTGAAGATTCTTTGGAGAGGGACACAGCCATCTGAAAAAAAAAAAAAACTTTTTTTTTTGTTTTGTTTCTGGCTACTGCCCAGCTGAGGGCTGTACTGCAAAGGCAGCTGGGTCTGTGGAAAGAAACCAGGCCAGAATCTGGCCTCTTGCTCATACTGTGGAGCCAACAGTTTTCAACTGTGAATTCAGAAGTTGAATAAACTTTAGGTTTTTAAGAAAGCATCTCTCTTGAGAACATCTAAAACCAGTGTCAAATGTCTTCCCTGTTCAGCAGGAAATATCATTTTCCTTAACTTACCCAAGAGATTTGCAACAATCTTAGCTTCTGGGAATTGGTTTTACTTCAGATATTTTGCTTCATTTTTCTTCAAGTCATGACCAAGTATAGTCAATTTAGAAACTTGTAATTTAGAGATTCTGAGTTTTATAGTTGGTAAAAGGCTTAAGGAAAGCAAGTGGCATATGCATTTAAAATTCTCAAAAAAAAAAAAATTAGTATTTCAATATCTAGATGTGATTCCAACAAACCCACTGCCACTGAGTCAATTCTGACTCATAGCAACACTGTAAGACAAGGTAGAACTGCCCCGTAGGCTGTAAATCTTTACAGAAGTTGACAGTCACATCTTTTTTTCAGAGTGGCTGGTGGATTCAAACCACTGACCTTCTGGTTAGAAGTCAAATGTACCTTAACCACTGGGCACCAGAGCTCTTTTCCAGATGTAACTAGAATTACTAAATTTATGACTCACCATTAAAACATGAACTGACAGCCAAGGACCAATATTTTGTTGATAAAAATTTTAAGGTTGGGATTAAAATTGTATATGTTAAACCATCCAATATTGATTGATACATGTTTACCTTGATAAAGAAATGAAATGAGTAACTAAGCAACTTGCCTCTCAAGAAATATTAAGGGTAAAATGAAATTCTCTTCTGACTCTTCACTATAAATTCTAGCTATTTAGTTAGAAACAGAAACTATTGCAAGTAACTTCTTACATTTAACTGAAACAAAGGTAATACTATGTTGATTGGCTTTCCAGATCTCAGGGTTGAGTGTAAAAAGTAGAAACAGTCAATTGGAGCCATGATGGCCTTGAACTCCATGTGAAATCTTATGAGGGGAAAAAAAAAAAAAGGCTTATTTCTTTTTGGTTTTTGGTGCCCATATGTTGGTCTCTAATTTAAGTATTAGCTAAGATATCTATCCAAGTGTAGTTTTAAAATAAAAAGTATTATAATAAACGTTTATATGTTGCAGCTCTTAATATTCATGATAATTCTATGAGACAAATACCAGGAGACAAAGGCAACATGGGAGGACCTAGCACTTTGCTCATGTGGTGCAACTGGGGAGCAGAAGAGCTGGGGTTCCAGCCTGGGCAGCCTGGATTCAGAGCACACACGCTTAACCATCCCTGTGCTAGACACATACTTGCCAGTTCCCAGAGCTCATCATTTGTAGTGTTCCTACCATGAGTCTTTATTAAGAAAAAAAACTCATTTTCTTCAGGAAATTTTATTTTGGAACAGCATTATTTATAGAAGCATTATTATTTTGTGTGCATTAAATAACTATGCATCTGTATCTGGTATTGTATTCATTTTCTAGGGCTGCTGTAAAAAATACCCACAGGCTTGGTGGCTTAAAACAACAGAAATGTATTCTTTCAAGTTCCAGAGGCCAGAAGTCTGAAATCAAGGCGTTAGCAGGGTCTTGCTTTCTCAGAAGGCTCTAGGGGAGCCTTCCTTGTCCCTTCCAACTTCTGGTGGCGCCAGGTGTTCCTTGGCTTGTGGCTGCATGACTCCAGTCTCTGTCTTCCTTTTCCATGACCTTCTCCTCTGTGTTTCTCCTTTCTCAATGCTCCCTCTCATTTCTCTTATAACATCACTCATTGGATTTAAGGCCTAACCTAATACAGTGTGATCTCATCTCAAGATCCTAGTTTAATCACATCTGCAAGACCCCATTTCTAAAGAGAGTAATACCACAGGTACCAAGAGTTAGGACATAGACATATCTTTTTTAGGGTTCACTATTCAACCTACTACAGGTATCACATGTATAAAACTGTCCACATTATTGATGATCTCTACTGAAAAATATTTAACATCTCTGCACTATGACTGTTAAAAAATTTACATTAATATGTAGTAGAAATAGGCCTTTTATACAGTATATCATATTTTCTATTATAGTTAGATTTAATAAAATTCATTTGTTTTGCAGCAATCAACAGAACTTCTGATAGTCAATACGATGCTTTAATTACAAGTAATCTGGTCCCTATGTATGAAGAATTCAAAAGTAAGTATATATTTAGATTGATATCTTTAAAATGGCTAAGTGATTTCCTGAACTTCCAACTTAAATACTTCATTTATTGCAATTTGTTCCTGACAGTAAGAGCTATTTTGCTCTAATGTTTTAGGTATAGGTACAGGAAGGAACCCTGAAGTAGTGTCTTTTAAACTTACTTCAATTTTGGCTGACTTATTGCTAGAATTCTGATAATTTGTTTTCAGTCCCTCCTTTAACTGTCCACCATTCATCTGTCAGTTTATTGTGGTGGCTTGTGTGTTGCTGTGATACTGGAGACCAGGCCACCAGTATTTCAAACACCAGCAGGGTCACCCATGGTGGACAGGTTTCAGTGGAGCTTCCAGACTAAGACAGACTGGGAAGAAGGACTTGGTGATCTTCTTCTATAAAAAACTGGCCTGTGAACACCTTACAAATAAGAGAAAAACACTGTCTGATATGGTGCCAGAAGATACGCCCTAAGGTTGGAAGACACTCAAAACATGACTGGGAAAGAGCTGCCTCCTCAAAGTAGTAGTTGTTGTTTTGTTAGGTGCCATCCAGTCAGCTCCAACTCATAGTGACCCCATGTACAACAGAACAGAACTCTGCCCAGTCCTGTGCCATCCTCACAACTGTTGCTGTGCTTGAACTCATCACTGTGGCCACTGTGCCAGTCCATCTCATTAAGGGTCTTCCCCTTTTTTTGCTGACCCTCCACTTTACTAAGCACGATATCCTTCTCCAGAGCTTGGCCTGACAACATGACTAAAGTACATGAGGTGAAGGCTTGGCATTCTCACCTCCAAGGAGTGTTCTGGCTTTATTGTTTCCAAGACTGATTTGTTTATTCTTCTGGCTGTCTGTACTACATTCAATATTCTTCACTAACTTCATAATTCTAATGCATCAGTTATTCTTTCGTCTTCTTTATTCATTGTCCAGCTTTGACATGCATATGAGGCTCTTGAAAAATACCATGACTTTGGGTCAGGTACACATAGGTCTTCAGAGTGTTATCTTTGCTCTTTAACACTTTAAAGAGGTTTTTTTTACAGCAGACTGGCCCAGTGCAATAAATTGTTTGATTTCTTAACTGCTGTTTCCATGGGTGTTCACTGTGGAAACAAGTAAAATGAAATCTTTGACAACTTCAATCTTTTCTCCATTTATCATGAGGTTGCTTATTGGTCCAGTTGTGAGAATTTTTGTTTTCTTTATGTTGAGGTGCAGTCCATACTGAATATTATGTGATCTTAATCAATAAGTGCTTTAAGTCATCTTCACTTTCAGTAAGCAAGGTTGTGTCATATGCACATCACTGGTTGTTAATAAGTCTTCCTGATGCTGTGTTCTTCTTCATATAGTCTAGCCTCTCAAATTATTTGCTCAGCATACAGATTGAATAAATATAGTGAAAGACTACAACCCTGATGCACACCTTTCCTGATTTTAAACCATGTAATATTCCTTTGTTCTGGTCAAAGGACTGCCTCTTAGTCTATGAACAGATTCTTCTTGAGCATAATTAGGTGTTCTGAAATTCCCATTCTTCACAATGTTATATGTAATTCTGAAAGAAAGACATGGTAGTCTACTTCTAAAAAATTGGCCACTGAAAACCTCAAAATAGAGTCAACCTTGATGTGAATGGAATAAAGCTTTTGGGACCTGCATTTGCTGATGTGGCATGACTCAAAAGGAGAAGAAACAGCTGTATCCATTAATAATCAGAACATGGAATGTATGATATATGAATCAAGGGAAACTGAAAGTTGTCAAGAATGAAATGAAATGCTTGAAGATTGATATCCCAGGCATTATTGATGGACAGATGTTGGTCATTTTAAATTGGAAAATCATATGGCTTACTGTGCCAGGAATGACAAGTTGAAGAGAAATAGCATCATATTCATCATCAAAAGAACATTTCAAGATCTATCTTGAAATACAACACTGGGTGATAGGATAATATCACCACAAGAGAGACCAGTTAATACCACTACCATTCAAATTTACTCACCACCTACTAATGCCAAAGATGAAGACATTTTAAGACTTTTATCAACTGTATAGTCTGAAACTGATCAAACAAGCAATCAAGATGCATTGACAGAGAGGCGGGGCAAGATGGAGGACGAGGCAGAAGGATTGCACAGACCCTCTTCAACAAAGAAAAGGGAAACCAATTAACACAGACACAGAAGATAATCTTGGACGCCTGAGCCTTGAAGGAAAGGATGCCGATTTGGACTAAA